CAGATAAAGAGAAGCATCATCACAGTGTCTCCCACCCCCAGCGTTTGCTACTGACCATCGTGGATATTAATGAAAGACACCGAAAGATCAAGGAACACAAGCATGGCCATACTACCCCATCCTGGCTCTGCCATAGAGGAGATGAGGGTGACTAATGTAGTTCCCATACTAGATTACAACCTGCTTACTGGAATGGGTTCAAAGAATCCACTTCCTCCAGGGACTTTTGACCTGAAGCCTGACTACCTTCTCCACTACCTTCTCTAAAGGTTGGAGGATGGGCAATAATTGTCCAGGACTATTGGATTTAACGATGATCTCTTCAGGAAAGGGGACATCACTGCCTCCTTCAAGACCAAGAAAACCAACCCAAAAAGGCCGGCACAGCGGCATAGACATTATTAGTGTGCATCTGTACAATGTTCTAATGTCTAAAATAAGTTTGCTCACGGAACATAGTATGTGGGGCTTAAAACTGTTTGCCTCTCTGTCCATCATCAGGATAACTCTTCAAAAACTGGGGGGAAAAACCAGGACTGTATTTGGTTGTGATGGGTAGCTGCAAAAGACAGACTGAAATGTAAAAAGGGTTTTGAGTTGCAGAGATTAAAATTATAGGAAAAAAAAAACTCTGAGTAAAGCCCTATGATGGGCAATGTTTCAGAATGTTTCTAATTTCCTGTATGGTTCATCCTAAACAAATATAAAGGTCTTGGAGAGCTCAGCAGCTGCTTCATCATATCTTGGCTCCCCCCCACCCCACCTTTTTTTCCTATTTACTGATGACAACGATCTGGACATAAAAAAACAGTTGAGGCTATACAGGAGATTTATTAATAGCATCTTTGCTAAGGGCACATTTTTGGGGCAGCTGGGACATAGCAACTGTCACGGCCCCATCAGAGTGCGGTTTGGAGGAGGAGGAGTTGGAACTGGGCCATCCGACAGGGATGGCACATCTCCCTTGGCGTGTTTGGAGGCCAGGGGCTGAGGACGATGCTGTCCCAGGTCCCTCAGGTATTGGGGAAGCTGGTCGACCAGATAGAGAGCTGCCTACCTGCATAGAAACAGGGGAGGATCGGCTGCTGAGAGGCAATGGTACTGATAGGCAGATCTTGATGAGGAACAGCTGCCTCCTCCACTGATCCAAGGGCAAGCAGAGCAGAGCACAGGCAAGCCCAGAGAAGGGCTGCAAGGCTACTTGGGAGCAGGCCACCCCACCCCTCCTCACAAGGAACACCTGGGATGAGTAACTTAAGGAGCAGCCCTGGGAGTTAGTCTTTGCCAGGAACAAATGTTTGTTTTTGGATTACACTCCCCCAGCTCCGACTTGTGCTTTTGCCTTGCTGTGAGGACTGCCCTTTGCCTTACCCTAGTCCTGTGGATTTTACCTTCAGAACTGCCTTTGCCTTGTACCCTGTCTCTGCTTTGAGGATGCCGTTTGTCTTGCCCTAATCTTGTGGACTGCTTTTGCCCTTTGTTTTGCTTTACCTTCCGAACTGCCTTTGCCTTGTATCTCGTTTTTGCCCTGAAGACTGCCATTTGTTTTATGCCTGGACTTTGCCTTGTGGACTTTCCTGGTAATATATGGGCTGTTATTTGGGGGAATGAAGGTGGCTGCCTTCAGGGTAGCCTGGAGTGAAGCCTTACTGGTCATTGGAGGGTCGTTGGTTGAACACTTTCTGAGGAAGATAAAGGACACTCTAAAGATCTTCCTTACCTTGACCACTTGGATCATAACAGCAACAACAAGAAGGCTTATAGCTAGAAATCTTAGAGTGGCATATATCATGGCTTGCAGTCTCTTTTTTCAGGCGATACTTTATTTAAATAACAACAACAACAACAACAATAATAATAAAGTTGGAAGGGACCTTGGAGGTCATCAAGTCCAACCCCCTGCTCAGGCAGGAAATCCTATATCATTTCAGACAAATGGCTGTCCAGTCTCTTCTTAAAAATTTCCAGTGTTGGAGCATTCACTGCTTTTGGAGGCAGGTTGTTCCACTGGTTAATTGTTCTAACTGTCAGGAAGTTTCTCCTTAGTTCTAGGTGGCTTCTCTCCTTGATTAGTTTCCATCCGTTGCTTCTTGTCCTGCCTTCACGTGCTTTGGAGAATAGCTTGACTCCCTCTTCTTTGTGGCAACCCCTGACATATTGGAACACTGCTATCATGTCCCCCGCCCTTCTCTAGACATACCCAATTTCAGCAACCGTTCCTTATGTTTTAGCCTCTAGTCCCCTAATCATCTTTGTTACTCTTCTCTGTACTTTTTCTTTTGTACATCGTGGTGACCAAAACTGGATGCAGGATTCCAAATGTGGCCTTACCAAGGCCTTGTAAAGTGGTATTAACATTTCACGTGATCTTGATTCTATCCCTATATTGATGCAACCTAGCACTGTGTTGGCTTTTTTGGCAGCTGCAGCACACTGCTGGCTCATATTTAAGTCATTGTCCACTAGGACTCTACTACTATTGAGCAAGGTACCACCTATACTATACCTGTGCATTTGGTTTTTCTTGCCTAAATGTAGAACCTTACTTTTTTCACCATTGAATTTCATTTTGTTAGATAGCGTCCAGTGTTCAAATCTGTCCAGATCCTCCTGTATCTTAAGCCTGTCTTCTGGAGTGTTGGCTATTCCTTCCAACTTGGTGTCATCTGCAAATTTGATGAATTCCCCATCGATCCCCTCAGCCAAATTGTTGATGAAGATGTTGAAGAGCACTGGGCCTAGAACAGAGTCCTGGGGCACCCCACTACACACTTCCCTCCATGTAGATGCAGTTCCATTGAGGACCACACACTGAGTATGGCTGGTTAGCCAGCTACGAATCCATCTAGTGCCAGCTACCAATCCATCTAGTGGTGATGCTGTCTAACCCACATTTCCATTAGCAAACATAAGCTCTATACAAACCACACACACAGGGCAAAAAGTAATGCAGCTTACCTGAATCTTATAACGTCCAGATGTTTGTGGCTACAATTTCAGTTCAGACGGAAACCCTGGCCAGAATACTGGGAGTTCTTAACACAATCGTAAGGCTGCTAGAATAGGAAAAATGAAATGAAAAATGGAACCAAAAGAAAAGGAACTGATGGAGGTAGCTTGTTTCTGAAAAGTTCATTATTTGTAATTACAGAAAATATCTAAAATCTGCCATTAAAAATGAAATATTGGTGCATATTACAGATCAATAGAAGTAATGTGCTTTTATGGACTAGGTACCATTGAACCAAATGCAGAAATATAACCCTCAACTAACTATTTTGTATCTGTTGATGAAGAAGAAAAACATAACAAAAAGAAATTCTCAAGAACATGGACACATAGCCATGAAAATGCAATCTGGCTTAAAAATAATCAGTCTCATATCACTGCATCTTAAAAGAGCAACACAAGCCTCTGATGGATTTGGCTGCAACAGAGCTCTCTCCCACTCCCTGCATGGGGCTGTCTGTCTGGGGAATTTATTTTATGCCCACCCTTTCCCCATAAGGAAATTCTGTGAGTTGAACTCCACATATCTTAAAGTGCCAAAGTTTGAAAAACACTGATCTAAGGCAGGGGTGTCAAACTGCTGGCCCACATGCCCGATGCGTCACGTGGAAGCTGCACCCACCCCAGCTCTGGCGAGGGAGAAGTCATGATACGTCATGACATGTCACATGACGTGGCGAGTTTGATATCCCTGATCTAAGGCAAGAAAGCTTATACAGGTAGTCCTCAACTTCCAAAACCTCTGTTGCAAAGTGAGACAGTTAAGTGAATTTTGCACCATTTTACGACCTTTCTCACCACAGTTAAGTGAATTACTGCAATTGTTAAATTAGTAACAGGACTATTAAGTAAATCTTGGCTGGCCAGTTGCCCAGCATCAAAATTTTGATCATGTGAACATGGGGACGCTGCAATGGTTGTAAGTGTGAAAATTGGACAGAAGTCACTTTTTTCAGTGACATTGTAACTTTCAACCGTCATTAAGTAAACTGTTGTAAGTTGAGGACTGCCTGTACTTATAGTTAAATTACCTGTTAAATTGTAAAACTCGTTTATATTTGCCATCCACCAACATAATCCAGTCAACTTTCGAAAATTTGCTTTTTCCCTTTTTAGTGCATAGAGAATAGTGTTTCTTTCCTTTTTTTTAAAAAAAGAGGAAAGTCATATTTTCCAGGAATTCCCCCCTTCCATATAGTCAGCCTCTCCTGCCGTTCCCTGTGCAAGGCTGCCCGCCCTATCTACTCCGCGTCTCACCCTTTCAAGCCAGATCCAACTCCTGAGTCTACAACGCACCACTTGCTCTGCAGCCAGGAAGAGAAACGCGGACGAAGGTTCTACCGGCCTCTATATATGTGGCTTCTCATTGGTCCAGATTCATTAGGACATAGAGTGCCAATAATAGAGTCGCGCAGACAGTTGATTTCCGAGTTTCTCTTCGATGAAATAGCAGACTATCTGGGAATTAGACCCCGCGGCACGAATGTCGGTTGTTCTCTTTAATTCTCATTTTTTTAAATTCTCCATTTATTTTCCAGGCGGGCGTAGATGGTGACGAGAGAGCGGGGGGGCGGGGTAGAGTCACCCTTTATTTTGTTCTTATAGTAATCAGTCTGTGAGGTAAGTTGGGCTAAGACTCAATGTTAACAGCCTAACTTCAGTCAATTTTAAGCTTCATACCGGAATGCGAGTCTCAAAACAGACACCCACACGGAGGAGGAGAAAAGACTTGAAATTAAAATTTCATTCTGAAAAGACTTGTTGAAGCCTGATTATAGACTGCCTAAATCTTTTAAACTTTCAAGTCCAAACCTGACAGTGTGCTCAATAATTGACAGAAAAAGTACGGGCGAACATTAAAAAGTAAAATAGCAGATTGTCTAGTGTGCTTGGCCGGGAAATACCCGGCTGAGATTTTGCGCATGCGTACTAGACCGAGAATGGGCCTGGGAGGAATACGGAAGGGATAGTTTAATGCTGTGTACGCATGCGCTGTTGAACAAGTGAGTACGTAGTTGTGGAGGAAAGGCGTAAGCTATATGGCGGGACGATTAAACTGCTGTGTAAGTCTGGCTTTGCTTTGGCTAGAAAGTGGGCATCGTTAGGGATAAAGGAGCTGCTATACGTCCTTGGTCCTCGGGGGCTTGCGATATGGGATATTCTGTATGTAGTATATATCTAGTTTGGTTTCCTTTTTCCTATTTGCATTTTTGAAACCGCGTTTGAAAAGCAATCTGTATGTTCTCAGAACCCTTTGGCTCTTTGATCTACCTTATTAAGGCAGTTTAATATTTCATAACATTAAAAATAAAACCTTACAAGAATGAGGTCATCAGATATTTTTATTGGACAGAGTCTTACAAAAAGCAGGGAGTGGGCATGGAAAATGTTGCTCTGATGGCATAATCATGATTGCTCGTACCCAGAGGTTTATTATTGTCAAAAAAGAGCATTGTTAAGAAAGTGTATTAGACTGACTCAGAAAGGTTAATGGTGCAGCTATAAGAATCATATTTTATTACAGTACAAATTTTATTGCAGCACTTGCACCCCAACCCTGCACATGTCAGGAGTGGTTAACAGTAATGACTGTAATGAAATTGGCAATAAGTAACATAGAGTGCAAAAACCAAACCATATGATGAAAAAACCCACATCAGCCTGGCTACTGACATTTCCTTGGAATTCCTAAAGGATCTGAGAAAAAGTTCTTTCTTCCTCAACACTTAACTCAAAAAATATAATATAGTAACTAGAGAAGGAGTAAGGGGAGTGATACTTCTTAATACCTCAGCTTTTTACTTTAATGTCTAGATATAATGTAGCTAGAAGCCTGTGTAGAAACAGCTTAATGACAAATATATTTGATTGTGTAAGAATCTGTTTCAGGAAGTGGTGAACTTTCTTCTATTAGAGACATAGGTAGAACCTGAATGGTCAGGAATGCTACCAGTTATTTCTAAATTTGATTCCTGGATTGTACGGTATTTGGATCCTTACAGTAGGCTTTCAAAGATTGTGAATTTGCTTCACACTTCCTGATTGCTATTTTTCAAATCAACAGAGCCAAAGATGAGACGATCAGCAGCTCCAAGTCAACTGTTGGGGCATTCAGCCAAAAAACCAAGATTTATATCGCCAGGAAGAATCCTGCCGAAAACATCTGAATATGTAGATCCAGAAATTAAAACAGATGAGGTAATATTAAAACAGAAGATCACAAAGACATTAATATTACTAATGTGAATAACTTGTGGAAACTCAAATTCTCCTTCATACAAAAAAAGTTTCTCCACACAGAATATTAGATATCAGGAGCATGTGTATCTTTTTGCTATACAATATTATGTTTGGTTTGGAGGTTGTGTAAATCGTCATGCAGCTTACACATATTGCTTAATCACTACAGTTGGCCATCCCTGAAATATCCTGATCTATCAGAAATTTGCCCTCATATTTAGAGTTTAGGCAACAAAACTCCATAATGGTCTTCAACAAAAAAGAATTAGCTACTTACCAATTTAGTTCATATGCTCTTTCAAAATGCAGATGTATAAATTACCCAATCCTATTTCCTCAATCATGAGTTCATTTGCATTCTTACACATTCCTCAGATGTTCTGTTTCTGTTTAATCAGGATGCATTGTGAAAGACTATAAAAATGGGTCCTAGCTTCATCTCCTTTGAGATCACTTGGTGTCCAGAATTTGGAGGCCTAACTTCTAAACGTTTTTTTTACTATGCAGACTTCTCATATAATAATTGGGGGGGGGGGTGTTTCTAAATAAAATGGGAAATGTACACAAAAGAGAAGCACTTAGGGAGTTATAAATCACAAACTAGTGATTTTGTCCAGATTTCCCAGTTGTAAATTGATTATCCATTGAAATTAGACACCTGACTAGAACTCTATATCCATGTGTTTCTTGTGTCTCACTCCATATTGCTGCCCAAAACCTGCATGTATTAGTCCATGTAATCACAGGGAACTGTCTTCAGCTCAAGAGAGTCTCTTTTTTGTTTGTTGAACTAATTCATTATATCACAATTGAGCCATCTGAGGAACTGCGGATAAGATCTGTTAATTTGGATTTGCTGTTCATCTGATCAGTGTCAAGACTTTTTCCAAAGATCTTCCCAGGATATCTATATTTCCATGTTCTAAACAGCTTTCTGTTTAGAATAGTCAACTCATGGGTATGCAGTCATGTCTTTGTAGCTTGAAAATTCTAGACAGAGCATTATTTAGGCTGATTTGTCTTCATATAAGGTTCTTTTCCCTTTGAGGAATGTCCTCCTAAAGAACATGGCTTTGATATTTCAGAGTCTTCAGACAGGAGAGACACATATTTAATTTGAAGTTGTTGCATGAATATTCCATAATAGATACATATATATATATTCTGTCTTGTAGGTGTGCAAGAGACAATTGTGTAGCCCAACTTCTGTAAACATTCATTCTACAACTTCTGGCTTCCATTCTTCTGTAACAGTAAAATCTAAAGAAGAAGAATTGCCTTGTAAAAACAAGAATATGGGGACTTGGCATTTGAAAACTGGAATGAAATCTCTACGCAGACCAAAAATAGGTAGGAATATGCATGATTTAATATAAAGCAGAATAGCTTTTGAAATATCTTCTGAAGGAAACTAGAAACTAAGCAACATTGGCTTCAGGACAGCTGTGTTTTATGGGTTGTGATGGCAAGGTTTTTCCTCTTCGGAATAAGGTAAATTTACTCGTGCTGTACTTATATACAAACAAATAGCTGCTGTTTCTAAAACATCAGCAAGACTGATGAAATTATATGTACAGTATGTAGGGTTGTACACATATGTTTTCTTACTACAAGTACCAGATGCCTCTAAATTTGCTGAGGAAACTTGAATGGTTACTACTGAAACAGAACATGGGTTAATAGAGATATCAATAATTTGGGAGATGGTAAGAATTGTTGGAGTATTGTTATTGTGATATATGCAATCTTTGTATTAAAAGCATTAGCAAAATTTTCTGACGTCAAGCGCCATCATGCGATGGCTAGAATGCTTCCCCTTGCAAAGTCACCCATACTTGTTTTCATTTTACGTGCAAGATCTCGGCCATTTAGGGAAAGGAAGAAGAGTGCTTTTGTGGATCAGGCCTATTGAAAAGATAAGGAAATAAGTATTGACATGATTGCCTTATTGTCAAAGAAAAAAATAGAGTCTACAATATAAATGAAGAAAGGCAGGAAGAAGAATATATAATGGGCCAAAAAGATAGTGCTGTAATAGAGAATGAACAATTCATATTATGACCAAGGGATAGTATTTCTCATTACAAAAGAAGATTGTGAATCAGAATAATTAGCTACATCAATGAGCTGGATTCTGTTACAGCCTCCATTTGATTGTTGGTCTATCACAGTGATGGTGAACTTTTTAGAGACCGAGTGCCCAAACTGCAACCCCAAACCCACTTATTTATCGCCGGGTGCCAGGTGGGCGTGGCCCACTGGGTGGGCATGGCTGTGGTGGTCATGGCAGATTGGGTGGGAATGGTCAAGGTGGGCATGTTGCCCGTGGGGAGGGATGCCTGTGGGGGCCAGGCAGGGTTGGAGGAGATCCAGGGGGTCTCTGCCAGGTGGGGCAGTGGGCAGGATGCTTGTCCTGCGGGGTGAGGCAGGGCGGGGGTGCCATTGTCACAGGGCAAGGTGAGGCAGGGGCAGGGGCGGCTGCTGCCTGACATCATCGACCTCTGCACACAGAGGTCAGCGAGCACATGGGTACTGGGATGCATCCGGCCATGTGGGACCTTGGCGAGTTAGCGGGCAGCTGGTTGAAGAGGGACGGTTGCCATCTCCAGGGCATGGCCTGTGTGCCCACAGAGAGGGCTCTGAGTGCCACCCCTTGCATGTGTGCCATAGGTTCGCCACCACTGGTCTATCAACATGATGCAAACTGGTAGAGGAACAAGGAAATCCTTCAGCTAGCTCTTTCTAAAGTTCTTAGTTCAGCTAAGACTGTGGGCAACCTAGCAACATCCTAGAAAACTAATTACAAACCTGAAAGCTAGCTATAAAGCTGGAACAACGTACAGCTAGTTATATGTTAAGATTCATTCACTTTTAAAATACTTTTTTAAATATTTTACTGCTTCCGACAGGAAGGCGGTGCAGAGAGTGGTGAGGATGGCAGAAAAGATTATTGGCAGTTCATTCCCTTCAATCCAGGACATAGCATATAAGTGTTGCTTGAGCAAGGTCTGCAGGATTGTCTGGGACACTACAATCCTTTTCCTTGTTTCCTTCTGGGAGGAGGCTTTGGGGTATCTGAAGCAGAACATCCAGATTCAGTCACAGTTTTGTTCCATACAGTATCAACCTTGTAAACTCTCAAGCCTCCTCTTTCCGCTATGTATACAAGAGGGACAGTGATTAATATTTATATGTATTTATAGGTAAGGGTGTAGGTATATACATATGCGTGGTAGGTATATAGCATGTCTATATGTGTTATGTATGTGTACACTTAAGAGCAGGCAACAGTTTTATTTTTAATGTGTGCCAGTGTGCCCACAGTAAAAAATGACAAAAAAGGTTATCTTACCTTTTCAAGTGCCCCGATTGGATGTTTCCTCCTTAGTATTAATTTTGTTTCATGGAATTCTTCCAGGAATATCTTTTATCATTAGAGTGCAGCTCAGATTTCTCCTGTGATGGATTTATTTATTAGAAATATAAAACAAGAGCTACTTTTCAAACTCATGCATTTATTGTCACTTAAGCCCTGCTCAGATATTCAGGATCTAAAAGACTTGACAATTGAATATTCTGGGTAACAACCTCCATCCCTTTTCAGGAAGCATTACTTCCATGTTATCTGAATAAAAGCCTAAAGACATACAGTATGCAAATATATTTTATGTCTGCTGGATGATCGCTGAATTTGTGATTGCCTGCAAGTAGTTGACAATGTGTGATGTTGGTGAGCCTTAATTGAAGCATTCACATGGTGAATATCCTTAGTTAAGTAACCCCTAATTGGGTTTCTACACTGAAGGGATTTCAATTGATTAAAAACAATCAGATTTACTTATGAATGGATGTGCTTTGCTTGTCTGAATTGTAAAACATTTCATACATACCAGTTCTTCATCATACTATTAAAAGATTATTCAAGCATTTAATCTACAGGGTTTTATGTATGCATTAGAGGCTGCACCGCTAGGATTTGAGAAGCTATATTGCAATGTTTTATAGACAAGAAGCTAAACTTTGAAGGTCTTTATTTTGGAGGAGGAAAAGAGACATCAATTGAAAAAACAATTTAAGATTATTTTCTTCCAGTTCTATAATACAGATAAAATATTTTCTACTATGTATTTTTTCATGGTAGCATGGGAGCTTTGTCCTAAATATAAAATGGATTCTTCCTGGCTTGCTGTTTGCACAGTCCATTCAGAATTGTTGTTCCATCTTCTGTATTTGCTGTAAGGATTGCTTTTGAGAAGTTGTCCTTTAAAGGAGACGTTTGATTGGTGAGATAATTAATTTTGCTGGTTTCCTTTGTTTTAATATTTCTGTTCATTGGAATCAACACCAGCGCAGCCATGGAGCTTGAAATGAATCTGGCTGTGTTTCCATATCTCACTATGGTGGTCCTGGCCATAGGCATGTTTTCAAAAGCCTGGTTCTTTGTTTATGAAGTGATATCCAACAGCTTTGAGTTCTGTTCGTCTGCTGAATTTCAAATTTGCTTTTGTGATCTTGTTCCTTAAATGTCAGTATTTGTCAACCACTTTTTGGTGGCAAGAGATGGTACCACAGTCTTGCCTATGAAAAATCTTGCATTGAATTCATCTTGTTTCATTCTGATAGACATTACTCAGTCTTATCTTAGAAAGCTAAAGCAACAACAAACAACAATAACAACATAAACAATTAGACTGGTTGGAATTAACAGTAACTACCATAATGTAAAGTTTGCCCTTCATATACAGTATAAAAGGAACTTCAATAATAAAAATAGTAAGAATGGAATATCTTAACACATACTTTGTTGTGTATTGTCATTCATATGGTGTTTATACCACATTATTCCATTTTTTAACCTTCCTTCAAAACAGTTTAGGACTTGCATCATGATATGATATAATTTCAATACATCAGTGACATAAGATGATGATATCAATTAGTCCAGGTTTTAGTTAGTACAATTATATTCTATTTTTTTCTCTAAGGAGCTCAACAGTTTAAAACTCATTCCTTTGCTTCTCATTTTATCTTCAGGCTTTGTCTTAGTCTGTAGTAGTAGATTAATATCATTGAATAAGATGGACTTGAACTTTATGTTCAATGTTTCTGATTATATTTCAGAAATATGTTACATGCATTGCATATAGTTCTTTAAAATGGTTGCATATTTTCCTAGACTTGTACTGCAGTTGTGGAAGGCAGCCACATGTTTCTAGGAGAAGATATAGCAGTTGCTGATCATGTGTTATGCAACATGATAGTGACTCTAGTAAAATGTAAATATATGTGTAACTGCTACCCATGAATACATAGTGAATACATAGTTTTCTAATACTTTTAAAGAGGAACATGCTCAACAGAGTGAGGACATGAATGAGTGGAAAATGAGCTGCTCTCTTTTACAGCTACAGCTTGTCCAAAAAAATATTTGGTTTTTTTTTTCAATTTTTGTTCACATTTTCAGAATTGTGTTTCATTGTCTTTTAAGATTCTGCTTTCATTTGCCTGAATTTAAGTAAAAATAATAACATTATAAAAGAGAAATAACATCATAATGATAAAATAAAGGGCAGATCTTTCCATAAAGATGACCGTGGTAATTAATATTTTTTAAGGATTGTTCACCCTTGATATAAATAGTTGTGGTGGGTTAGAGATTTTTAGATTTTGATTCAAGCTAGAGCAGGGGTCCCCAACCCCCGGTCCATGGACCAGTACTGGGCTGTGGCATGCCAGCAACCGGTCCGCACAAACAAACAAAACCCCATCCGCACAAACAAACAAAGACCCATCTCCAAAAGGTTGGGGACCTCTGAGCTAGAGCATTCCAAGGAATACTTTCTATTTTTTTAAAAAAAATACAAAAACCCCAATTTTTGATCAGTAAGAAAATTATTCTAAAACCTATATTTGATGACATGTATTTTAGTGAGCAGATTTCTTAACTTTTCCAGAACTGTTTCTCAGATCTCTTATGGGAAGAAATATTATTTCTTGTTAATTGTCAGGGGTTTGTGTTTGATCATGAAGTCTTAAAAAGAAACACTGAGAAAAGGCAAGCAATTTAATTGTATTCCATTATACACGGGAAGATTTTATGTTGTACCTCAATTAAGCTATAACATAACTTATTTGGTTTTCAATCTTGTAAGTTGTGAGAATGTAGCCATTTGATCAGGAGCTTGAAAATAAAAAATATAAATATTATAATACAAAAATATTATAATATAAAATATTGATTAGCTGAATCAAGCCAGCCATGACTTGATAAACTATGGTTAAACAAACCATGACTTGTGTGATCCCAGTGAATGCTTTTGTTATAGACAAATTTCAACTTTTGTCTGTTC